ACCCAATTTACCTTGAACTTCAACTATCTTAGACTCATAATATTCATAGTCGTCTGCTTTCTTTGGTTCATAAGGTATAACAAGTTTGTATGCTTTGCCTTCTTTAAGGTTTGAAAACCTTCTGTCAAAATTTTCTTTGACTGCTACAAACCTTCTATGTCTAAGTCTTCAAATTTCGCCCATTTTTAGTCACAATAGCAAACTTAACTGGTTCGATGTTCCAAACTTTGTCAAATGTAGACTTTTCAAAATGGTAGAAGTAAACATTCAAATAAGCGAATGGGTCTAGTTCTTCTTTGACTTCTGTCATGTACTTGTTGACTGAAATATATTTCGTCATCTTTTCTATCGGATAAAAAATATTTTTTTTAAATTTACTCAGAAAATTTTTCTTTGTATATACGCCGTTCTGTCGAACATCTAAAGATTTTTGACATTTGCCAAGAATGTACGTTTAGAAGCTGCCATATAACCATATTCTTGACAATATTGTTTATTTCATCGTACAATGACCTTTCATCTAACACTCAAAGTTAGTCCCTCATCTATGAACAGTTCATATACACTCTTGTTTGCTTCTAACAATGTTTGTCTTTCTTCGGTATATGGAATTTGTCTTGGATTGAACTTAGAAATATCTAATGTCATGAAATATGAGAACAAGTGGTTGTAAAAGTTAGGTGTCAAAGTTTCTGCTAAGTCGTCAAAATATTCTGTATCTTGCATATGAGAATCTGACGTTCTGAACAACTACATATCTTCTGTCAGAACTTTCTAACTTCATCGGAACGGCATTTGGTTGAAACCATGATGAAATTTGCAACATTTTCACAAACTCTTTGGTCTTTATATTTTCTTTCAACAACTCCAACTTTGTCTGTTATAAGACTCTTCAAAGCATCTGAGTTTAAAAACTTTGTTGTATCTATACTTTAAGTTCGTTACATACTATAAGTTTCATATTCTCTATTGAAGAGTTAATTTACCGCAGATGTTTTCTAAGTTTGTCATATTCGGGTTCGAATAGCCCTCTAACAGTTTGCATAAGATATCTGTAAAGAAAGTGTTCTTACCAGTTCCTTGTTTTCCAATTATAATGAAGCAGTTTCATTTTTAGCACTTGGATGTTGTAAGATGTTTGCAAACCAACATAAGATATACTCATAGACTCTTTCGTTTCCATTGCATATAATTTCTTTGACATGGCTAACCAAGCTTCTATAACATTTTCTTTCCATTCTACTTGTTCGTATTTATATCCAGTGAAGATAGAATAGAAGTTTGGAGATGGTGTATAGAACTTTATACCACGAACTGAAAAATCTTCTAACTTTGACAATAAGATATCCCAAGCATCTAACATCTTCATACCAACTTGTACGACTTTTATTTTCTTAAGTTTCTGTCTACATTCTTGTTCTGAAACTATTGTCGCTCTTGGTTTGTTAAAGACAACATCCCAATTCTTTCATGACATAACATTCTGGGGCAGAGTCGACATAAATGACTAAACGTTTTCAAATTCTCGACTGCTTTGTTATAGTCTCTAAATGGAACATATTTCTGAACGCTTGGAAGTCATAAAAATCTGAAACGTCTATTCTGTACATTTTTATAAAAATAAAAAAAATATTTTTTTATTCTTGAGCTATTTGTTGTTCTTGAGCTATTTGTTGCATTTGTTGTTCTTGAGCTATTTGTTGTTGAAGTTGTTCTTGTAATACAATACTTTCACCAGTTGCATCTTCCAATTCGAAACTTTCTGCCGTCATTGACAAATACATAGGACATAAAAGTTTACAGGAACAAAGTTTGCGTCGACTAAGGTTAAGTTTATGTTTGCTAAAGTGTTTGAGTTCACTAAAGCTGAAAACTCTGCATTCGAATGAACAATAGGCAAACCAGCAGAGAAAGTGTTGTTTATACGCATGAGTATCTTTTGGTCATAGTAGTTTCTTCGACATTCGAATAGCACTTTGAACCTAAGTTTGAAACAATATATAAAATAGGTGTACTTAAAGTCAATGGAACAGACAACCTTGTATGACACCTTTTCCTGTGATAGGAAACTGTTGGTAGTAAAACAGATATAAGTTTTGTATTATAGCTCATATCGTTTATACTAAACTCGTCGGACATCCAAACATAATGAAACCTGCTCTAGTTGCAGCACATGTTACATCCGTCCTTAAAGTATTAAATAAGTCAACAAAACCTGTTGGTGGTATATCTGAGTAAGTATCTTCAAAGAAGTATTTTTTACCATTCACAACAACAAAGTCTTCTGGTGTCAAAAGAGCAAAAAGGCTTTAGTCGTCATCGTGTTTAAGGTCAGTTTACAATATCGTCCTTGAGGACTTTGTAAGTTTGTTGTTATAGAATTATATGACTCAGGGTTTTTAGTCGTAATAGTAATAAACCACTATGTCTTCTGCCATTTACTTAGCAAGTAAATTTTAATGAAATGTTGTGGTCGTCAAATATTTTTATGACGTCTGGGAAACTATATTTTAAGTTCAACGTTTCACCTCCTTTCATAACGTATATCTTGTCAATGACATTATATGAAACACCACAGCAAGCAATGTCGGGTTCTATTTCTTTGATGTTTATATCGTCTGCCTCTGTCAAAAGTTTCAATAGTTCTTTCAAAAATTTCATGAGGTGCAATGACATATGAGTTCACTTTTACAGGGTTGTGTTCGACCAAGTTTAACATTATACCCAAAGCTTGACAAATCTTCTCCTGAGTTTTAAGTTTGTCTTTAAGTTGTTGGTAGTCGTTTCGAATATCTGCAACAGAACTTAAGTCTCTGCTAACTTCAGGATATGTTGGTTGTTCTTTTACAGGAACTATTGTTATACCATCTTCGTCTTCGTATGGTTTCTCCACTTCAACATCTCTGTCTTTGACATTGACAACAACACTTTGACTGTTTGTTTGAGTTGGTGAATTTAACTTCACATCTGCCACCGCCATTAAACCTTTTGAAACACTTACGCTTCTATTTTTCGGAAATGACATTTTACTTAGAATAAAAAGATGGACGTATTTGAGTATCTCTTCGAATTGAAGCAGAACAAAGTTTACACACACAAACAATACAAGTTCATTGACAGAGTAGTGTCTTTACACAAACAATGGAAAATGTTATAGAATAGCAGTCTTTGCTGAACCAAAATATTTTCATAAAGCAAAGAAAGTTTGGTATAACTGAAATGGTGAAAGTTCTTGAGCAGCGACAAAAATATCAACAAAAACTTACAGATATTTCTAAAGGTAAGTTTATCTTACAATTTTATATCAAAACTGGCGTACTGTCAATATTTGACGGAGAGAAGTCAGTTCAAGAACAACTTACTGACCTGCTGCCAAAATCTGCTCGATGGAAGCTGTCGTATATACCAATCTGAGGAGCCCCAGCAGGTTTCATCGCAACGAAATTTTCAAAAGAGCATCTTCCGTGAAAAGTGCTATTGGTTTTGTAAACTTCTTTGCTTTCAATTCATTTGGACCGTCTCTGTCACCAGTATATTGTATTTGTACAGTACCAACAGTTGAAATACCACCCATAAAGTCTTCTGAGTCAGCAAATGGAATGCCAGCCAAAAGTTTGAACGGTCTCCATTTGTATATTGAGTGTTTTGAGCTCCTGTATGGGTCCATACTTTCACATATGGCATAATAAACTTTGCATTTCAGGGTTAATGGTTGTTGTGAAGTTGTTGTTAAAGTTCATAGCATCTAATGTCAAGTTGTATGACCTCATATCCTCAACTGTAGAATATTCTTCTCTTGGATAGTATTTGCCATCTATGTTTATATGGTATTTAAATACCAGGGTTGTAGAAACAAGAATAGTCATTTATAGTTCGTCTGAACAGTACAAACATAGTATCTGCATGTTTCATTGCAGTTGTTAAGGCAATATCTGTTCTTGCACCTGGGTCAGCACTTTGGTTCCAACTTCACCTGCAAAGTCTTTGACAGATATTTGGTGTATAGGGAACATAAGTGGAACTGCAATATATTTGGCAGCTAAAGCATTTGAAATATCTGGGTCCAACATATAGACTGCAAGTCTGCTTTCTATTCTCTTGCATTCAAATTTTTCGCCATGTGAACTTAACTGGGTCCCAAGCATCTCCAGCAGCATTGAAATAATAGTTTACTTCAGTGTTGAGGTTTGAGAAACCAAAGTCTAAGTCAACTTTGTTTTTGCAAAAGTCGGCGAATGACGTTTTATTTGTTCCCACTACGTCTGTAAGAGTGAATGGGTCTTGTGTTGGTGCAATGACTAAGTTATTTTTGCTTGGAGTAAGTTCGATAGAAATTTTTCCTGCCCAGTTTGGCAAGTATCTTAAAAACCTGAAGATGAGGAAAGATGACAAAGGAACTCTAAGTTTCAGTTTTACTTTGGTTACTGCTGCTGCAGTTTGTCCAGAAAGGTTAACATAAACTCCTGGAACGTTAGGGTCAAGTCTTCTTATTTTCTCAATAGTTGCATACTGGTCTGTTTGTTCTCTAGCTTGTGGTTGTACTGAGTTTCTCAAAGCGAACCATTCATAGTTTGCCCATGTTACTGTTTGAACTAAGTCAGAGTTAGAATATATCTTATATCCCATGAAAACTTCTGGAGCATATTGGTATCCGACATAGAAAATTCCATTGCAACCTTTCTTGTCAGACAACTTGGCAGAAGGTTTTATTTCAATGTCTTGTTCCACGTATAAGAAAGAGTTGTCAATAGAAATTATATGAAACCTGTCGCAAGCAATATCTACTGTTGTTGAAGAACCTTCTCCAAACTCACCTACGTTTCCATAAGAAACAGCAGTTGTATATTCGTAAGTTCCAGGAACTATTTCTGACCTTCTAATGGCATTGTCGCATTCGTTATACCATTCGGAAACATTTCCATTCATAGCATCCAAAACTGTTGGCGTTATATTCTGAGCGGCGTACATTTCATATGAGTAAAAATATAGAATAGTTGGATTTATATGTCATAATAGAACCCACTCCGACCAAGCTTTACTTTCTTCCTGACTGAGTTTTTAACTCTTCTTTTTCCTTCATTGCCCTCTGCTTGAAGTTGTTGCATCTTTGCATTATGTTCATCTAGTATGTTGCAAATTTCCCATGTCCTTTTTGCCTTTGGGCTCTGGTCGCCCATCTCAGGTAACCTATATCCTAGAAAGATTTTGTCATAGTTTGTATTTGAGTCTTCGCGTATTGTTTGCATGACTCTTTCCTGAGTTTCCGGTTCAAGCTCTTCAAACAGTGCCTGTCCATATGGAATATGCTCGTTTCCAAATATATGTTTTTGTAGCCATTCTGGTTTTCTTTCCATGTTACCAATTATATCTTTTGTGAATGGGAAAGCTTTTACCCAATCTTTCAGTCTTTCGTCATTTATTTCTGTAGTTGGTTTTATTTTGTCAAGGAACATGTTTTTCAATACTAACATTTCATTTGGTACTGTCCATTTGAGTTTTCTTAAATATTCATCCCTTCTCGGTTCATTGTCTGCAAAGTAAGTTTTTATGACATTTTGTAAACTTTCGTTTGCAAGGTCATGTACAATAGGTTCTCTTCCTTCTCTCTCCCTAACTTTCTTTCTAAACTCTTCACCAAATATACCATCTCTATGGTTCTGTGTAGTTCTTTGAGATAAATGTTCTAGAACGTCAGGTGTTATATTTCCATCAGCCATGTTCATTTCATACTGGTTCAAAATATCTGCATGTTTCATATCTTTCAATGGCATTAAAGCCGCGCTTAAAATACCAGCTATATCTGGTTCACCATTGACTTCCATTGCGTCTACAACTTCTTGGAATTGTGGTTGTAAGTTTATGAACCACCTATCTGGATTAGCTTTATGACCCCATCTCATTGTAGTTCCATCGTCTGCAGAAACAAAAGTAGGTTTGTTTCCATCTTGGTTAGGTTCTGAATGAACTTTAAACAATGTTTCATTTCTATATGTTTTCTTGAAATTTAACCTTTTATTTTCACCGAGTTCATCCGAAGATTGAACGTTAAATGCTCGTAAGTAAAAAGGGTTGTTGTATTTGTGTACATTTTCTTTCAGTACTTCCATTCTATGCTGAATATTTTCATCTGGTGTTGGAGTCTTTTGTATGTCGGCAAACATTTTTCGATATTCTTCTACTATGTCAGCCGAATTTTTTTTAGACTCTTGGAAATATTCCATATTCTCCGCATACTCTTGTTGAGGGTCAAGATTTTTCGGCTGTTCCAAATCTTCATCTAGTTCTGTGAAGTTAGTTTCCAAAGGAGTGACTTGTTCGTTTCCTTCAGGCTCTTCTAGCTGTTGTTGCTGAACTATTTCTTCCATGTCTGGTTGTATCTGAACTTCTTCCTGTGGAGTTTCTTGTACCTCATCTGCTGGCATTTCATATATTCCGAGACCGTTTTCAACAATTTCCCTATCTACGTCATCCGCATTCATAAGCTTTTGTTCTTTCGTTCCGTCTCTATTTTTTACGCGTTTCATGACGAAAGTTGAATTGTCATTTAGCTCTGACATCAAATATCTCGGAGTAAATTCATCCATGTCATTTGGATGATATGCTATTAAATCATATCCCTTAGCGAGCTTGTATTTTCCAGGTTTGAGATTATATCCGTTTTGGTGCTGAGCCATAAAGCTAAATAGGTTCGGGTCAGTATTTCCATCCTTGAACTTTCCAATAGCTTCTTTATATCTGTCACTAAAGTCAACAGTATCTGGGAAACCACACTCTTCTTTAAGCATTTTTAAGAATTCTTGGTTTCCTTGTTCTCTACTTCTTTTATGTCCTTGCTCTGTTTGTGGAGGTGGTTGTTGTGCAGGGTTTTGAACTGTTGGTTGCTGTGCTGGTTGTGGAGGTGGTTGTTGTGCAGGGTTTTGAACTGTTGGTTGTTGTGCATGCCTGTGTCTGTGTCCATGTGACGATGTAAATGTTTTAGGTAGTCCTGGTGCAGGTGCTTCTCTTGGAGGGTTTGGTGGTATATAAGTTCCACCAGCTGGCACATATGTTCCATCTGCAGCGTAATGTCCTACCTGACTTTTCGTTCTTAAGAAAGCATTTACTAGGTCTGTTTTGGTCTGTTGTAACTCTTTTTCTTGACTTTTCACAACAGTTGCTCTAACGGCGTCATAGGCACTTTGAACTGCCTGTCTCGTTGCTGCATCTGTTATTTTCGTCATATTTTGTGCTACTTCTTTTAACTCTTTGTCGAAACCTTCAGACTTCAGTTTCTTTCCAGATGAGAAATCGTTCACTTGTTTCACCTTACTATGAAGAGCTTCGAAGGCGTTCTTAAAGTCAGCATTTGTTAAAGCTTCATTTGAACTGTCTTCATCCGCTTGTATTTTTGTCCTTATTGACCCTATAAGTTGGGCTGCTTTAGCGTTGGCTTGGGCATCTAACCAGTCATTATTAGCTTTTATATATTCTGCGCTTTTCATTGCCTTTTGCATAGCCGCGTCGTTATTTTTACTTTCTTGTGCTAAGTTTTCATACTGTACGGTTTGGTTTTGCAACTGTAAAAGTTTTTCTGCCTTTACATTTGCTTCAACTTCTTTTTTATACTCATCGCTATCCATATATGTCTTCAGGGCTTTTTGTTTTATCTCTTCATCTTTCAGTATTTTATATTGAGTAGTATGGTTTTTCAAATTTATGACATCTTGTTCCATTTTTGCTACTTCTGTTGCTTTTTCTGACACTTTTTTCGCATATTCCTCTGTACTTAGTTCTTTCAGTTGTTCTTCTTTCTTCTTTTCTCTACGTTTAACTCATTGAGTTTCTTTGTGTGTCTGTCATATTCTAGTTTCTTTTCGTTTTCACTTATTTGCTTCTGTATGTCTATGTTTGACTTTTTGACATCTGTTATTTGATTTTTGAGTGAACTCAAATTCATTTGACTTTGAGGGTTATAGGCTGTTCCGTCTGCAGCTCCACCATAGCCTGCCATTTTCGCTAAAAGTGCCGCTCTTAAACCTCCACTCTGTGCACCAACAACTCGGTTTAAAAGCATAGGATTGCTTGACATTTGTTGCAACATAGTGGGGTCATTCAGCATTTGTTGTTGCAACTGTTGTTGTGGTGTTAGTTTTACTATTGGATGTTTCAATGCTCTCTTCCTCTTACGTATATTCTTACGTAGCTTACGTGGCATTTTAAGTGAAGTTAAAAAGCGGCTTTTGACAGATGTTTATATGACACTTTTTGTTCAGCACAAAAAACTACTCGGTCAAAGTGTTGTCAGTTTTGTAAAATAACCGTCCTATCTTGTTTTAAAAGGGGAAAAGGCTTCTCAAAGTATACTTCCTTGGAACGCCCGTAACTTTTCCTGTAGCGACGATAGACTCTTACTTGTCCGGACAAAGTTATACTATTTTGAGTGCTCTACAAAAAAGTCAACGGCGACGACTCTCAAAAACCGTTGTGTAAAAAGTTTTACCGTTGGACAAAAAAGTATATATAGAAAACAAAAAACGTTTATAGTTCATTCAATATTTGAGATGGAACGGTTTGCCAACGGTAACTATTAAATAAAATAAAAAAATAGAGGGGGTTACCGTTGACGAAAACGGTTTATTTTAAACTTTTCTATGAGTAGTCCGAAAAAAACAGTTCATTTTTGTCTAATGGAAGCCAACATTAACAATTCTCAACCGCTAACCAAAGCCAAAGCCCCACAACCTCCAAGAACTGGCACAGCTGTTAGAATAACCGCCAAAAAGTCTAACAGCGAATTAAGAGAAATTCTTCAACAAATTTGCTCTAAATATCTCAAAGACGCCGAAGAAAACACACAACCAGACGCTATATACAATACTCAGTTCTGTGAAGTTCTGAACAAAGCAATTGCTAGTTCAATTGAACTTACTAAGACAATTCAAGTCCAATTGAGCTTAGCGATGTCTTAGTTCAGTATTTTCCAACATTTACTAAGCTCATAATGTTGAGAACTTTATACCAAGTTCGTCAAAATCTTCCTCGTTACATGCAACGGTCATTCGACAAGACAATTGCCGAATTCCAAGTCTTTAGTTACGGATATGACCAAGATGAATACGTTGACGAGTTCGGAGACAACTGTACAAAATGGTTTGAATGCTATACGACAACACAATTTGAATTCGACTTTCTCGAATTCAACGCAGCAACCATTTATATCATTGCTCTTTACCTTTCCGAACAACAACAAGACCTCGCAGATGGAGATGTTGTTACTGTCGTCATGGAAACTCCTGAACAATTCGGAAAAAAGAAGTCTCTAATTGCCAAATTTGTTCCAGGACATCAGCTTTTCCAACGCACAGAAGTCTTCTGTATTCCTGGAACTAAGTTCTTTGTCAAGAGCGAACTCAAACAAAGATATAATGTGTCATTCAATTACACATTATATAATGTTTTCGACCCAGAAGAAGACTTCTTCCCAGAAGCAATGGAAGAGGAAGAAGAAGAGAAACACGAAGAAGAGAAACACGAAGAGTCCTCCGAATTCACACCAGAAGACTAACAATTTTCCGAATAAAAACCTCATTTTATACTAAACATCTTCGGGGCTAGAAGGGGCGCAGCCCCTGGAAGCCCCACTACCTTTTTTTTTTTTTTTTTTTTTTTTTTTTTAACAATAATTTTATTTTTTGTTTGAAATTATCATATTTTTTTAATTAGAGATTATTGATTAAAACGATTATATGTTAAGTTAAATTTATAATTTTTCTCATGCAATGAAACATGTAAATTAAGTCATGATAAACGAATTCTTTACAAACAAATAATATAATCTAATTTGGAGCATAGTTAAGCTCTCGCTTGTATCTTGCTGCTTTAGCGGCCTGAGCTCTAAAGAATTTGAAGGAAATAAAGGTAAAACCTAAGCAAACAAAAAGAGATAAACCTGTTGCAATTTGAGCTTCTTGAGTGAAGTCAGATTTAGGATGCTTAATAACCCTTATCAAAAGGCCATGAGCAGGCCATTGTGTCTTTGAATCTGATACGTATAAAAATGAATCTGTCTTTTTGGATGCTTTGATAAGGCATTTAACTTCTCCTGGGTTATCACCTTTTTGAGCTATCGTAACTTGGTGCCCGAAAAAGCAGTATAAAGTTCTAATTGTTACATCTTTTGGATAAACTTCTACGGTAACAGTACCTCCGTATTCTTTATCTATTGTTGTTGGATATACTGAAAGCATTTGGAGTGATGATCCAATGCATTCTTCATTTTCGGCTCTCATCATTCCAAAATTACATGTACAACGACCTGGGTATGCACAAATTTCATCTGAATAGCAGCTATCACATTTGAAGCAACCACGTTCATCTAATGGGAAGCCTTTAAATCCAGCTTTGCATCTGCATTTATGGTTTACAATAACTGTATTGTTACCTGGGCATGGATTTTGTTCTTTTTTAGCAGGATTTGTAGTGTTTTTTGAGGAAGTTGCCTCGTTTTTAGATCTTTGTTTTCGAACAGGTTTTTCTGGATCTTGATTAGCACTTAAATAGAGTTGCTTTGTGGACAATACTGAAAAATGTTGAAATTTATTATATGGAATACATCTAAAATTAGAAAATTTGATTTTGATATCCTTGAAAATTGCAAATAACAATGAAAACAATATGATATTCAACAAAGTTACATGCTTTGGCTTATCATAAATTGAAAACATTTGTGGTGTAAGCTAAGCGATGCAACAATAAAAATTAATGAAAAAAATAAGTTAATTTGATCATAACAAACATACATGAAACATCATATAACGATCTTTCGTTTATCAATTACTATGATCTATTCTAAAAATTGAAGACAATGAAGATTTGTTTTAGCTTCTTGCAAGTGACTATATGATCATAGCTTCTGCTCTAAAGTATCTGGTCCAGGAGTTCATTTCAAAAAAACTTTTTTTATCGATAATTTTTCTGAAATATAAACACAAAATAATTTATTATTAAAACAAGACAAATACATATATACGATAATATTATCATGATCAAACAAACTAAACTTAGTTCTTGAGCTGTTGTTCGCGAATTTCGTGTAATCTCTTGAGAGCTTTTTCGCGGCGCTGTTGTTCTTTAAGTTCTTTACGTTTCTCACGCTCACGTTGTCTCCTCCTCTTTCTTCTGAGATGAACATCGATGATATTATATTCATCATAATTTTTTATGAGTTCTTTGTTGTTCATATCCGAAAAAGGAGATATTGGGAGTAGCCACGTCAATACATTACCTGTTCCGAACACGTCCTGAAGATTATATTTGAGACCTTTATTATATTGATTGGTATCGACATCATTCCATCTCTCCCATGATGTATAGTTCGTTATTATTGATTTGAGTGTAATAAATGCTCTGTACGCCGATAAAACAAAAATGAAAACACTGGCCATTGCGTAAATGAATAAAATGATGAAAGTTGAGGCCTGTTCAGGCGATGCCAAAATTCCGTAGAAGGCTAAAATAATAAATAAACCGATGTATATAGTTCCCCACATCGTGAAAAGGAAACAGTACTTATGATTGCGCTTACCTATCCAGGATGCAGCATATGTACAATAATGATCTGGTCGAATTACATATCTTCCTAGTGTAGATGAAAATACACATCTATTTGGACCGGATTGCTTCTTTGCCCATTGATATTGCAGCGGGTCTGATACTACTCCGGCTGGAGATTTCTCTGATTGTGTTGGTGTTGAGTTTGGAATTTCTTTGGGGTAGGAAAATGGAAAATATCCCGGCCCGTCGATAATTATTTTAATATACGATAATAAATATAAGGCAAACAATACCGTATAGCCTGCACATCGTAATATCGGAAAATTATCGAAAAGTGGAAATACTAATGTAACAACGAAGAAATATGAAGAAATTATGTAGAAAATTACAATTGAAGGTATTGGAATATGAACTTCCCAGTGATCCCAATACTTTTTGTTTGTTTTGGTCACGGAATATACTTGCCGCCCGAACAATTTAAATTTTTCTGTATATTCAGTATATCCTGGAAATTCCATTTCATAATCAGGTTCAACAAGATCTTCGAGTTTAGTTACTCCGGCTTCTTCATTATCATCTACAAAGTCGTCGAACTCCTCGAAATCTTCCATATATAAAAATCTTGATTCCGAAACGATAGAAAGGTGACAATTCCATTTCTCCATTCCAAAAAACAATCAACAAAAGAATCATCGTAAGCTTGAATTTAGCATAACTTATGTGAAACATTCCTATTTCAATAACCAAAATCATGAATATGAATAAGATGAGCGAAATCCTAAATAATTTAGTTCATTTTTTCGATGAGAACTATTCATTCTACTATGTAATCCATTGGATAACTTTTTCTCAGATGATTACTCAACAAATCATTCAATCAAATTAAAATGAATTATCTTTACTCTAAAGTAAATAAAACATTCAAATATGAATGTGACCATTTCTTCTGGGAAATACTTAAGAATTCTCTCGAAAAGGCAACGATAACCTGCTACTCTTTGAAGAGGTAATATCAGAAAGTCTTCAATTGAACGACATTTGGCCTTCGGATTGTAAATGCAGCTTGAAACAAACTGTTTGAAGGACTTATGCTTGCGAAGCTTATCCAAAATGGCATCAGAGTTCTCATTTGTTTGTAAATAAACTCTGTAAATGGACTGCATGCGTGGTTGAATTTCTAGTAACTTATTGGCCAAGTAAATGTACTTTTCATTTGGTGGAAATGGTTTACGGATATCAGGAAGAATCTCGTCCATTACGTTTAAGATACCGATTTCGTGACAATCTCTGATCTGGTTCAGATTTCCGAACAATGAAGCAAGGGTTTTAGCATCAATTAAAGGCTTTTTAGAGTTGATTGATTGATCGAGTGGTCTGTAGTAGATTTCTTCGCAAGTAATTAAACCTTCAACAAAATTTCTCTCGGTTTGGATTAATTCGTTGAAAATGGATCTGCGCTTGGAGTCTTTGGCCTCTCTAATGGCTTTAATATGTGGCATTAAGAAGCCAGTTATGATTCGAAGAGCACGAGATTCATTCATACTCATTTTGATATTATGTCTTCAGAAAAAAGATTTTTCTGAATTTGATCAACATTTTGGACTGTTGTATGGTCAGTAGGAGGATTTGATAATCTATGTAAGAAATAATTGTCAGAAAATTTTGAATGATTTCTCTGCGTAGTAAATCCTGGAAGCTTAAAATTATTGACTAGTATGATGTAGTAGAGCAACACGCTGGAAACAAACGATAAAATTTATAAAAATAAACTTAACAAAAGTAATAATTTACCATCGGTTTTCTGAGTCAGCATTTTCAATTTTTCAATATTAAATTGATAGCTTGATATTGGATATGATAAATAATAGTCGAATTGTTGAATTTAGAAATAATTGATGTTGATCAAATTGAAAACTCAAATTATTTTTATCGTTCAGCATCTGAAATATGAATAATCAAATTAATATGAGATTGATATGTGTTAATATGCATAAAATCAATATAATCAAGCGGATTAATAAACGAGAAAGTTTGAAAAAAAGTGGAAAAGTCAATAAAAGACAAAAGAATACAAATTTGGAATTAAAATGTTGATAGATCTTATTTTTCATACCAAAATATTAGCAAATGAGAATAAATTTTCACAGAAATCTGAATTCCGGGGTAAAAAAGGGGGTTGGCGTCCTAAGGCGTCCTAGTGTAAATTTCTCAAAATTGTGATATTTACATCACATTTTTGAGAGGTTTATGGGCGTCCTAAGGGAAAATTGAATAGCTAGGGCGTCCCGAATTTTCATTCTAAGATTTAAATATATTATATACTTAAGTATACTACAAGAAATATAAAATTATTTTTTTATTATGTTAACTTATAAGAAATTTTTTTGAATTATCGTTGATTTATTGTAATCTTTCCAGGCTATACTTTTGAAATCAACTTTACCTGTCATACGCATTAATGTAGTAGATGTCCAGGTGTAGCTATTATATCCCAGCAACATTGGTATTTTATCATTGTAAGATATCAAAATGAAGCGTTTTTTCAGATATAATTTTTCGTAAATTTTCAAAATAAGATGGTAAAAAAGCCTCGACTTGCTCGAAATAAACAATTTTTTTTACTTGTAAAAATAACCTTTTACAGCATGGGCAGCTATTTAATCACTATTTCTTTTTCTAAAAGTATATTTTTCAAAAAAAATTAAGATCAAATTCGACAATTTCTTGATGAAAGCAAAAATATTACACATACTTCTAGATGCATGGGATAAAATATGCAATTATTCAATCAATTCGCATGATTTGAAAAAAAAAATCTAAATTTGATAAAAATGTAGAAATTTTTTATTTGAACTTGAGATTCGATTTTTTTGATCCAATTTGTGAATTTTTTTTGATCGGAATTTCAATTAATTTGTTGATCAAAAATGACCTCACAATGTTTGATCATAAGTGAAGTCATCTTCATGGGTATTTAGAAATTCCAAGAGAAATTGCTTATTTCTCGCAGATGTAATATCTGAGAAAATCGAATTTAAATATTCATAGAAACCCAAATCATTCTCCGGTTCGAATAATTCATCTGTTGCTTTTTCTGTTTTTTCTATGAATTTTAATAATTTGATTAATAAATCTTCATCAGGAAGAATTATTGCTGCATTTGTGATAAAATTCCATATTGAGGTAATATGGCAATAATTACATTTATAAAATGTAATTTTATCCAAAATTTTTTGGCAAATTCGCATAATAGCATTAATATTTGAAGCTGAGATTAAACCTGTGATTACTTCTGTAACTTTTGGAAAATCATCGCAATTTAATATCTCTTTATATTGAATTGAGAATAAAAAAAAATCAATTGGATTCATTTCTTCAATTTCAAGGAGATTGTAAAAATTGATAGAAGTGTTATTGCAACAAATTGTATTTGCAGCAAAAAATCATCATTTGCTCGATTCCATTTTTGGAATAAATTTGCTGGAACAATGTTAAATTAAAACAGTTGCTTAATTTTTCTTCATTGTTTTCATAAAAAAGTAACAAGTTTGCAACTGAAATTTCAAAATTTTGATAATTGCCAGTTATTTCAGTAAATATATATATTTGCTTTTCTTCATCTAAAAATGGCAAATATTGATTTGCAATATTAACTAAAGTTTGGGATAAATTGTTCCAGTTTGATTTTACAATTTGTGAGCACATTATGTAATATGTAAATTTATCCGCTTTGTAGGAATTTAAAATTGTTTAAAAAAAAAAAAAAAAAAAAAAAAAAGGTAGTGGGGCTTCCAGGCACTTCGTGCCCTCTAGCCCCGAAGATGTTTAGTATAAATGAAGTTTTTATTCGGAAAATTGTTAGTCTTCTGGTGTGAATTCGGAGGACTCTTCTTCTTCCTCCATTGCTTCTGGGAAGAAGCCTTCTTCTGGGTCGAAAACATTATATAATGTGTCGCTTTTCACAAAATATATATGTTTTCATGCTTTGTCACTTTTCTGTCACTTTTCGGGTAAAAACATTTTTATTATTATATATAAATGAATTTTACAAAACCACCGTTACCGTTCTTTGGAAATAAGAGTAAATGTAAAGATATTATATTGAGAGAACTTAAGAAACTACCGAATGGTCTAACATTTGTAGATTTGTTCGGTGGAAGTTTCTATATATCCCATTTGTGCCATACAATATTCCCAGACTCAAAGATTATATGCAATGACTTCGACAACTATATGGACCGTCTAACATATACCAGACACAAACAATATATTGAAAGAGTTAAAAGAAGATACCTATAGGTAAGATGGAACGTATACCATTAGATAACAAAAATATTGTGAGAGAGGTTTTGAAAAAAGCAGAATATATAGACTGGGATAGTATATCTGCTAGACTATTATATAGTGGTTCTATAAGAGTTCATGACATTGAAACACTTATGTCAAAAGTTTTATATCTTAACTATACAAATGTTTTCAAAGAGGACATAGAAAAATATATTGAGGGTATAGAGTTTGTGAGATGTCATTGGACAGAGTTGTATGAAAAATATAAAGACAAGGAAAATGTTTTCTTATAGTGGACCCGCCGTTCTATAAACAATGGGATTTCAATACCAAGTAGACTGGACTTTGAGAGACTCTTTAGAAACTTTAGACGTTTTACATAACCATCCATGCTTTTACTTTACATCCGATAAAAGTGGTTTGGAAACCGTTATGAGATGGTTAGAGGACATACATGACTATGAGTTTATATATGACAAGATAGAATATGAGAGAGGTCCTATAAACTGGAGAAAGTGTCATAACAAAGAAATTTTATTAGTAAGTAAATGTGGTTTGAAATAGGACTACTTGTTTTAGGTTTTTTCCATTGTGTCATTTATTTATTTGACGTGGCAGAAAAGTACAGAGAATATGAAGATGAACCAATGCCTGCAAATGTTCAGTATATGTACTCGTAAGAGATATTTTTATCTAATATTAAATGGACGCACAGAACTTAGCGAATGCACAGCAACCTGGACAACAACCCAGAGAATATTCCAAATGAAGTTAGAATACAAACTGCAATGGCAAACTATGGTCAAGTGCCAACAGATGTACAAATGCAAACTGCCATGTCAAATGACGCTGCGTTAGGTTTGCCACCATGGTATGCAAATATGAAATGGAAAGAGTTTTATACAAACCCTGAAGTGGGATATAAACAACTTTATGCAGATGACGCGAACACAGGAGTTGACCCAGAATATGTTTTCTACCAGAGGAGAAACAGAATGTATGAGCTCCAGTTAAAGAATGCTATGGAACTCAACAGGAAACGTAAGAGACTAGGCGGACATTAGATTTTTACATATAGTAAAATGGGTTTCTTTGGAAGAATAGGAAACTTCTTTCGAAATGTTGGAAAAGGTATATGGAATGGAATAAAATCTGTCGGAAAGGGAATTTGGACGGAGTCAAAAATATTGGTAAAAGAGTAGGTCAGTTTGTTGGTATTATACCTAAAGACCCTGAACCAGAAGAGCAAGCTCCTGTTATACAACAGCCTGAACCTGCACCACAGTCTAGTTGGCAACCAAATCCAACACTCAACCGTATTAAA